GTGAGATAATTTTGATCTTGCTGATGATCTGGACTTAGAGAGGTTACAGCTATATTCTAGTGAAGTTTCAGAAGCAATGGACTCCATGTAACCACATGCATATTATACAAATGACTGTTGATCTGCAACAGTGTCCACTATGCTCCCTCAACTAGGGTTTGTATTCACAGATACCACAGATACCATGAATATCATTAAGGAGGTTACACGCTAATAAATCAGCAAAAAATCCCTTAAAAACACTTGATTTTAATATTGTGTAACCCTGTGTGACCTCCTTACAGTATCCGTGAATACAAACCCTACCCTCAACCCAGTTCTCATGCCTTGTCGTTTCTGAAGGTGCAATGATGAATTTGCACCAGGTTTGAATTTCTTTTCTTTTCATAACACACACTCTTTATCAGAGCACCTTTTCTTAACTTCCCTATGCCACATTTCTCACCCTGTATAAACAAGTTCCAAATATGTTATACAATTTAGTATGATCAACATAATTCATGTAAATATAAATTACTCACTGCAAGGATGTCGTAGTCATCATCCACTAACTGGTATTGAGAGGATCTGAGGTCAATTATACCATTAGCCAATGGGTCATCATAGGTTAAATCATTAATATCTAGTTCTTGTATCTTTTTGAGAAGATGATTATGAACAGATGTGTCTGCTTTCTAGCAATTTTGAAATTGGTGATATGATTAGTTATATTTAGTTCTGGTAAAATTAATGAATGCACATAAAATACCTGCAATTCATCCTTTAAGTTATTAATGTCACATATAGCATGTAATTTCCAACTTCGAGGTTCATTAATCTCAAACCTTAATAGAGGGAATTACTCTAAACATCTCATCCTTTGTATTTTACTTCAGAAACACCTATGTACTGAATTAGGTCTTCATCTATTAATGATTTTAACTCTACCCATATACATTGCATCTAGAAAAAAAATATATTTATGTTACTGAATACCCGAAAATAAAAGCTTTTACTTATTAAAAACTTGTGCAGATCAGATCTATCATTAGTGAGCCGAATATTATAGCCTTCTCATAAGCCAGTTAATATACCACTGCTTACATATCTTCATTTGTATACTGTAATATAAAGCTGAAACTTCTCACAAATGATTAACCGACTAATGAGTGGCTCAATTTATATTATCATCATATTGTCACCGGAACATGAATTGGACCTTAATTCGCTGTTCGATAACCCTGAAAATCCGTAGTAACCCCGTCATTATTTTATTTATATTATTAATCTTATTTTTATTATTTATCTGATATTTTATTTATCTATTATTTATTTTTAGCATTTATCATTTATTTATTTATTATTTATTTCATTAGTTATTTATTTATATTTATTCCGAATGATTTAATTAATTGTATGAATTCGTGTTACATGCGCAGTATTTAATTAATTCGTAATACGTAGACCTTAGACTAAATTTAGTAGAATTTTATGAAGATGAGCCCGAAGCGGGCTATAAAGCCCACGGCGGACTCTTTGACCCGTGTACAAAGCGGGCTTTTAAGCCCAATG